AGAAATTGACCTGTGAAAGAGGGGGCTTATTGAAATAGAGATAGTAGGAACTGCAGATGCTGGAGAATCTGAGATAACACGGTGTAGAGCTGGATGAACACAGCAGGCCAAGCAGCATCAGAGGAGCAGGAAGGCTGACGTTTCGGGCCTAGACCCTTCTTCAGAAATTAGATATCAGATTAGAAATCAGATATTGAAATAGTTGTGTGAATTGAAAAATCTGAAAATAAAACCTTTGGATCTAAAAAACATTGGGATCTATCATCAAATGAATTTCAACAGTGAAAAAACAGTTTGATGACACAAACTAATCCACCACATCCCTCACAACTGTGAGATCAGTCTTGCATTTTGTTTTCATTTTTTTCCAACATTCATACATCACTGTGGAGGTTAAAATGTGAAAAGTTCAGTCAGACAGATACAGTGCAGTTTTTATCTGTAGTAGATCATTCAAGTTACCATAATCCAACTAAACCAGAGGGCTGCCCTCTCGTTAGAGAGAGATGACTGATGGTGGTGTAACCTGAGGGTCACCAGGCTTCAGGCGAGAAGAGAGATTGAGAAGGAGAGTCCTTCATGGTAACCTCAGCTGGCGCAGGGATTGAACCCATGCTATCGGCATCACACTGTTTCACAACCCAACTTCCATCTGTGGGCCTAACCAATGCTTTATAAAATTGTAACAAGGCTTCCTTGCTCCTACATACTACATGGCACCTAATGTAGACAAGCATCCCATTTGCCTTCTTCATCACCTCATCTACTCGTGCTGACACCTTCAGGGATCTATGGACTTGTACACTAAGGGCCTTTTGTTCCTCAGTACTCTGTAGGAACCTACCACTCAATGTGCTTTCCCATCCCCTATTAGACCTCCCAAATGCATTATCTCATGCTTACCAGAATTAAATTCCATCTGCTGTTGCTTTGACCAATTTACCAGCAGATCAAAATCAGGTTGTAGCCTGAAACCATCCTCCTCACTATCAACAACTCCCACCAATTTTCATGACATCTGCACATTTACTAGTTATACCTTCTACATTCACATTTAAGTTGTCAATGTACATAACATATATTTAGGATCCTAGTACTGATCCCTGTGGTACACCACTGGTTACAGGCTTCCAATTGCAAAAGCAAACTACCACCACCACTCTTTGCCTCCTATTTGCAAGCTAACTTGGGACACAGTTTGCTAACTTGCCTTGGATCCCATGGGCTCTTATCTTTTGGAGCAGCCTTCCATGTGGAACCTTGTCAAAGGCCTTTCTGAAATGCATGTAAACCGCATCAATTGCACTACCACCGTCAATATATTTAATCACTTCTCAAAAAACTCAATTAAATTAGTCAGACAGGATCTCCCTCTAACAACTCTGTGCTGACTATCCTTGATTAATCCTGTCCCTCAGAATTTTTTTCCAATAACCTCCTGACAAAGATTTGCACGGTGGCTCAGTGGTTAGCACTGCTGCCTCACAGCGCCAGGGACCCGGGTTCAATTCCACCCTTCAGTGACTGTCTGTGTGGAGTTTGCACATTCTCCCCGTGTCTGCATGGGTTTCCTCCGGGTGCTCCAGTTTCCTCCCACAGTCCAAAGATGTGCAGGTTAGGGTGGATTGGCCATGCTAAATTACCCATAGTATCCAGGGGTGTATAAAGTAGGTGGATTAGCCATCGGAAATATAGAATTACCAGATGGGTCTGGCTGGGATGCTCTTCAGAGGGGCAGTGTGGACTTGTTGGGCCGAAGGGCCTGTTTCCACACTGTAGGGATTGTATGATGATAACTGACATCAGACTAACTGGTCTGTAATTATCTGGCCTATCCCTGCTGCCCTTCTTGAACAAAGGAACCACATTAACTATCCTCCAGTCATCTGGCACTTCATCTGTGGCCAGCAAAATATTAAGTATCTCTGTCAGGGCCGCAGCAATCTCCTCACTTGCTTCCCACTTCACCCACGTCCTCTGGCTTCCATGTGCTGATCGCCCTTTGGTCTCTAATAAGCCCCACTCTTTTCCTTGAAATCCTCTTGCTTTTAAAATACATATAAAATGCCTGGGGTTTTCCTTAATCCCATCTGCCAAAGATATTTTGCAGTCCCTCTTTGCCCTCCATTTTTTAAACTGCCGCCTACACTCTCTATACTCCTGAAGGGCCTCCCCTATTGTTAATGCATTGTATCTGACCTACGCTTCTTTCTCTTTCTTTATCAAACTCTCAATATTCCTTGACATCCAGGGTTCCCTGGACCTCCTGCCGCTGCCCTCCACTCTTAGAGGAACATGCTGGCCCTTAATTCTCATTGTATTACTTCCCAAAGATTCCCACTTTCCGAACGCGGACCTACCTGCAAGTAGCTGCTCCCAGTCTATGCTTGCCAGATCCTATCTAATGGTATTGACATTGGCCTTTCCCCAGTTTCGACTCTTGACTTTCACACTATCCTTATCCCTTTCCATCATGATTTTGAAACTTATAGAGTTATGATCACTATTCCCAAAATGCTAAGCATTTGACACTTCAATTACTTGACTGGCTTCACTCCCTATGATAAGGTCTAGCCGTGCCCGTCTCTAACAGCGCTACCCACATGTTGGCACAAAAAGCCCTCCTGGGTCCACTTTAAATATTCCACTCTGTCTAATCCTTTCACATTAAGGTGATCCTGGTTAATGTTAGCAAAGTAATAATCCCTTACAGCTATGGTTCTATTCTTCTTCGTGCTTTACCTACACTGCTTTAATTCTGGTCGCCCTGCTATAGGAAAGATACTGTTAAACTTGAAAGGGTGCAGAAAACATTTACAAGGATGCTGCCAGGGTTGGAGGACTTGGGCTACAGGTTGTGGTTGAATGGGCTGGGGCTATTTTCCCTGGAGCGTCGGAGGCTGCGGGGTGACCTTATAGAGGTTTATAAAATCATGAGGGGCATGGATAGGGTGAATGGTTTTTCCCAGGAGAGGGGAGTCCAAAACCAGCGGGCATAGGTTTAAGATGAGAGGGGAAAGATTTAATAGGCACCTAAGGGGCGACTTTTTCACGCAATGTGTATATGGAATGAGCTATGGAAGAAGAGACATCTGGATGGTTACATGAATTGGAAAAGTTTAGAGAGTTATGGGCCAAATGCTGGAAAATGGGACTAGGTTAATTTAGTTGGTTGGAATGGACAAGTTGGACTGAAGGATCTGTTTCTGTGTTGTGCGACTCTATGCCTTTATGATTCTATGTATGATCCTCTACCTGCCTCTGACTGTTGGGGCACCTGTCATGTAATCCCAGCAAAGTAATCGCCCTTTTCTTTAAATTTCTAAGCTCTATCCAGATGGCCTAATTTGAAGACCCTTGTAGGATATGCTCCCTCATCACTGCAGTGGTTTCTGTTATCAATAATGCAATGCCCCCTCAAGACTGCCTGAAACTTTTATAGCCTGGAATGTTGAGCTGCCCATCCTGCCCTTCCTTCCAGAATGTCTGTGATTGTAGCAGTATCATATTCTCATGTGCTGATCAATGCTCTAAGTTCATCTGCCTTACCAGGCAGGCTCCTTGTACTAAAATCGATACAATTTAGCTTTCCAGTCCTCCCAAGTTCCTTATCCTACCCATGTTTTCCTTGCCTACTGCACTACCCCAATATTCCTTCTATATCTGATTAGACCTTGCTCCCAACTTTACATCTACACTGTGTCCCATCCCCCTGCCAGATCAGTTTAAAACCTTCTCAGTAACATGAGCAAACCTTCCAGCAAGATATTGAACCCATTCTAGTTCAGGTGCAACCTATTCAGCTTGTATATGTCCCACCAACCCAAGGCACTGTCCCGGTGATCCAAAAATCTAAAGCCCTCTGACCTAAACGATCCCTTCAGCCATGCATTCACCTCATCTATCCTCTTATTCCAATACCCATTATTTTTATGATGGTCAGTAAAAGTTTATCCCAGTCAAAAAGAAGGTCTCAATGAGAAAAATGAACCACTGGGATTAACAGAGGCAATTAAGGAGAGTACTAGATCAAAATCTAATCCTATCAAGTGATGGGCCAGAGCATTGGGTTTTTTTTTAGAAAACCACAGGAGATGATTAAAAAGCTAACAAAGAGGGAGAAAAAATTGATTCTGAAAATAAATTTGCAAGAATTATTAAAACAAACTGCATGGGCTTCTACAGCTATATGAAAAGAAAGAGAGTAGCCTAAGCAAGTGTGGACTTGGTGGATGCAGTTGGGGAATTGACAACTGGAAACGGCAGACAATTTAAACCAGTATTTTGCATCTGTTTTCACAGTGGAGGGCATTATTAGCAACCCAAAATTAAGAGATAAGCAAGGTGCTAAAGGGAGAAAAGATCTTGTAATAGTTTCTATCACAAGGGGTGAAGTATTTGTGAATTTAATGGGACTAAAGGTAGACAGGTTGCTTGGACTTGATAGCCTGAAAGCAAAGGCTTTAAAGGAAATGGTTGCAAAGACAATGATCAAAATATTCCAGAATTCACTTAATTCTCAGATTGTTGTTCCATAGGGGTGGGAGACAGATTGTGGGGCAGTGTTTTATTGAGTTCAGTATTTGTTTTATTGTAGTTCAGTGTTTATCTCGGGTTCACTTTATTTTAAAATAAAATATCTTCACATATTGAGCTTTTGACATTTATTGTTCTTGCTTCTTCTCGATCAACAGGCAAGAGGTTTTTAGTGACAGATCAGCCACTACCCCCTTTCTATCAAATTAATTTATTAAACTGGAATCATCAAGTGTTGTAGGAGATTAGAGCCTCAGGCGAGCTCCCTGTTTATTGTAGCTCACTGCTTGTTGTGGTTCAGAGTGTTACTGAGTTCAGTGTTGGCTGTGGCTCAGTGTAAAGTGTAATTTTACTGTAATTGTATTTAATGTTGGGTTTTCTTTCTGGCGCTCGGGCGGAACGTTTCTCCGCGGAACGCGGGAGCCGAGGGGAGGGGTTTGAGTGCGGACAGGAAGATGGCGCTGTCCTGGTGAGGGAGCCGGGGGGGAGGGGTTTGAGTGCGGACAGGAAGATGGCGCTGTCCTGGTGAGGGAGCCGGGGGG